CCCCAGATTTATGTTGGACAAAATAAGTTTGGCTTGGCTGGCATGGCTTTGTTTGAAATACTGAAAATTGACCTTTTGATTTTTTCGTGGCTCCATCTGCCAGGCCCTCCCTGCCATGAGACCTGGCGTTTGCATCAGGGCTGGGGCTGGGCAGGGGGATTAGATCATATGTTTCCATCTTACAGATGTGGCTTTACAGTGCCAGGGCACTACCCACTTGTAATAAAGCAGGTCACTGTTTCCCAAGTGAAGCTCGGCACGTCCAGCTGCCTGTATGCAGGAGCCACTGTCACGCAGGACACTGCGGAACTGCACTTGCACGGCAGGCTGACACAGCCCTCCTCAGCTGGCTAATTAGAGCAGGATGCACGCACGGAGTGGACACATACAGGGCACTGCCAGCCAGGGCATAGCAGTGAGGCCCCTCCCACGTGGGGAGGAAGCAGGACAAAGCGCTTCAAGACCTGGGTTTTAAGCCCATTAAAAATAGATGCATAGGGCCAGGGATTTAGCTCAGTGGTTCTGCCGCCTGCCTTGCAAGTGCAAGGACCCGAGTTCAATCCCCAGTACCAAAATAAAATAAAATAAATGCATTCCTGTCGCCTCAACTACTCAGGAGGCTGAGGCAGGAAAATAGCCAGCTACTCAGGAGGCTGAGGCAGGAAAATAGCCAGCTTGGGCAATTAAGCAGGACCTTGTCTCAGAATAAAAGGGGTAGGGGATGCAGCTCAATGGGAGGATGCTTCCCTAGCACATGTGAGGCCCTAGGTTCGATTTTCAGTGGCTAAAAAGGAACAGCTCCACAGCTTCCTCTTGTCTGTGCAGCATTCAGGGTGCCACCTCCCCAACATGCTTCATCAGGTGGCTGCCTGGCCTGCATTTCTGGAGAAGGCCTGGTGGAGAGGTGAGGGGCCAGCTTGTGCCCCTCCTGCAGCCCAGGGACGGTGGGTGCTGAGCGACTACCTATCAGCTGTGCATTTTTCTCTCATGGCTTGGAACCAGAGGCAAAGAGTTGATTTTTCCTGGAGTGCCCAGGATTCATGAATGCAAGAAATATTTATTGAGCACCTACTGTGTGCCCGGCACTATTCAGGGACTGCAGCTCACACAGTCCAGCAGGGTCAGTAATCCTGGGAGTGCTGACATTCCAGGGCTGCAGGAACAAATCAAACAAGATAAATACATGAATAAGTAAAAGTGTGTTGGACAGTGAGTACAGACTTGAAAATAGAAAACAAGGAAAGGGCTATGAAAGATCGAGGGTGAGGGAGTAAAATTTTGGACATGGTGGCCAAGGGAGGTGGCACCAGGAGGAGAGCCTGTGAGTAAGAACAAGGAGGGGCAGGGCCAGCTGCACGGTTACAGGGAAGGCACTGCCATGGGAGAAACAGCAGGACGCAGGCTCCGGGACAGAGGAGAGGGCCCGGTGGCTGCAGTGTGGGTGGGGGAGAGAGGGTTGCCTGCCCAGGGAGGAGCTGACAAGGTCTGATCTCGGATGTCCTTTCCAAAGAGAGACCCAGACTGAGGAGGGGGTTCAGGAGGACAGGAAGGGATGGTGAGTTCCAGGGCTTGGCTGCCAGGTGTGTGTCAGATCACAAGTGATGCGATCTGGTGTGGACAGGTCTGGGTTGCTGCTAGTGGTGTCTGCCAGATTCTGGCCACATCACCTCCCCCATCACCGTTCAGTGGGCCACCTGGACTGTATTGGCTCTGGTAAATCAGTGTAATTTTCTTTAAAAAAATAAGCCCAAGATTTCTACTTCTTTAAAGGACAAAATAGGAGCCCTAAGTAGAAGGAGATGAAACCAGGGGCCGGGGATTTAGCTCAGTGGTTCCACTGCCTGCCTCAAAAGTGCAAGGACCCGAGGTCTATCCCCAGTACCAAAAAAGGAAATGACATCCACACAAATGCAGCCACCTGCCTGGTGCTCAGGGTGCAGCTGGTCCTTTCCCTGGAGTTCATCAGATGACGGAAAAGGGAATCCTTTTCACACTACCACCATCCCTGGTGTTTAGTGCTGGGACCGAGTGCCCAGCTAAAGGCACCTCTGGGTCACCAAGGACTCCTGGGCCTCACTGATGCCCAACCGAGAGCATAGGGACTTCTGCACAGTTCCTAGGGTCACGGTCACTGCTCCTGCATGGTGAACCTGGACCACCTCATCCGCGTGGAACACAGTGCCCAGCTCCTCCGTGGGACGAGCTGAATTCTGAGACCGCCCCTCGGCCATGCAGTGCAACCAGTCACTCAACAACCTGAGCTCCGTTGCTCTTCTAGAAAATGGACCTCTGGAGAGCTGAGGGATACATTTCATGTACCGAGCAATAAACATTCAGCTAATGATAGCGTGTTCGACACGTGACACTGCCCTCCTCCTGGTCCCGACTGCTTAGCTGTATTAGGAAGTTGTAGCACCAGCCCTCTGGGGCTTGGCAGGGTCTGAGAGTGGTCAAGGTAGGTGTGAAACTAGGGAGTGCTGGCGAGTGTGGCAAATCAGAGAACACATGATCTGTTCGATGCAAAGGCCAACTTTTAGGAATTCCCTATGCTGAACACTAACACCCACACGCGTATCTGTGGCCACGCACGAGCATGGGCTCCTGTGCTACATGGAAACCCAGTAGGGAAAGTCAGACTTTTGTTTGTGAAGTCAGCAGGTGTATGTTGAGCACTCACTGGGTGCCAGGCAGTGTGCTGGGGTGGGGGTGCAACAGTGAAGGAAGTGAAGAAAGACAGCTTCCTGCCTGCTGGAGCTGTGCCAGGAGGGGCTGCACCCGGGACCCGCAGTCCGTGTGGTCCCTGAGCCTCCTGGCCAAGGCCATGCATGGGATGCGCTGGAGAGAACCGGCTTTGTGTCATGAACTGGGCAGGAATCCTCAGGTCCCCAACATCAAGGCCACACAAGCTCCTGAGAACTCTCTGGGGCCTAGCTGTAACTGGTAGGCAACTGCAGGGGTCCTTCCGGAAGTGAGGCTCCCTTGAGTGGCCAGCGCCAACCCTGCACAGCCTACAAGGGAAGCACAGAGGGGCTTGCCAGCCTTGGGTCGTCCTTCAGGTTCCGCAGAGGTGCACCTGCCGGTTAAGGGGGGCCATGAGCCCTTCTCCAGCCACTCTGCAGGGAGCCCGCACACCTGGCACCAGCCCTCTGATGGCCTGCCAGGTCCGGCCGGCAAGCACTCGTGCTGGAGGTGATTGCAGAATCGAGTGGGGCTGTGGTGGAAGTGAGCCAGTGGGGCTCCTCCACTCACAAGGTCAGCTGGCCCACTGTGGAGGGGACTTGGACTTCTCGAGAATGATGAGTGCTACCAGCCGAAGCAAGTCTCAGGAAGAGGACTGGACAGAGGCAGTGGCAAGTGTAGAGACCCTCGGGCAGGGATGAGCTTGGGGCCTCGGGAGACAGGAGGGCAGCGAACCCCAACAGGTGAGCATGATGTGGTCGGGGGAAGACGGGAAGTGGGGCCATAGGAAGGAACTCGGCCCTTACTCTGAGTGTGTCAGAAGCTGCTGGGTAGTTGTGCACATCAAGGAGATATGAAGAGAGATGATGTTTGCCCCCGGGGCAGCTCTGGCTGTTTCCTTCCCTGTCTAGCAGAGGTGGGGTGAAAGAGCCTTGTAAATCTCCCTTCCATTCTCCGCCCTGAAGGACAGACTAAGGTGGGCTTGTTGGTTGTTGTCCTGTTGCTAGGGAGTTGCTAGGTGATGGTGATCTCTGCTGTCAGGGGAGAACCTCACTTGCTGGTCCATCCTGCCTAGGTTTCCTGCAGTATCCTAAAAATCACTGCACATGGGTGGCTTCAAAGAGAACGTTACTCCCACAGCTCTGGAGGCCAGGAGGCCAAAGTCAATGTGCCAGCAGGGCTGTGCTTCCTCCTGATGCCCCAGGGGAGGGTCCTCCCTGCCTCATCCAGCTATCGGGGGTTCCTGGGCTCCTCACACAGTCTCTTCCCCTCTTCACAGGCCTCGGCCTGAGTTTGTGTGGACACTTGGTATTTAGGACCCCACCAGGTAACCAGATCAGTCTCATCTCAAAATCTACAACTTAGGACATCTACAGAGCTTCTTTCCAAGTAAGGTCATGTTGACAGGTTCCGTGGTCATAGAACTGCAAGGAAAAGGGGGGAACCCAAGCTGGCCGAAGAAAGAAGAGAAAAGATTTCTGTGCAGCATTTCACTAGATGTCAGTGTTTGCACTTAGTCTTTACAGGGCACCAGACACAACACCCCTCTGTGCACCACTCTTCACACTGTTGATCACCCCCTGCGTGTTACACACTATCGCAGTGCCACCATGCAGCAGTCAGCAAAGCACTCAGGCTGTGCCCTCGTGGGCCCCGCTGCCTGCACACACCTTCAACTCCTTCCCAAGTGCCTCACCGGCCTCCAGCTCTGCTGGGAAGCAAGAACAGGCATGAAGGAAACAGCTACCTGGGTATATAATTAAGTCCTAATAATCCGTGCTGCAGGGGAGGAGCACCCAGAGGAGTGGGAGCCGGGGTGACCCCTAGGGTCTGCGAGCAGAGACACAGTTTGACCAGGGGTCAGGTTTGGGGGGAAGTGGGAGTAGGTTCCGAGTGGGCCAAGGAGGTGGTGCGCCAGGTGCAGAGCATTTGGGCTGAGAAAGACTGGGAGAGGGGCGGCCCCAGGTGGCATGACCAGATCTCAGGGGACACTGATGAGTCTTGAGAAAGTTCCAAACAAAACAGTGTGTAATCTTCCCTCCGTTCACATGGTGGTTACTTTCCAAAAATATCAGTGTATATTAACGCCCTGCAAAAAAAGACGTGCTGTTTATATTATAAAACAGTTTGGTTCCAGGCTCAGAGCATTTAGAAACAGGTTTTTACTTACACTGGCAGGAATGTCTACTGGAACTGGGGACCCGGAGTGTCCCCTGACTGCAGGACCCCCCAGTTACCCCCATCTAGCTGTCCAGACGCGCCCGCCGAGGGCTCGTGGTGAGGATCCAGGGGCCCCGCCTCACCTGCCTGTGTTGTTGCAGGCTCCATGCAGGTGATGAACAAGACGCGACGAATCATGGAGCAGGGCGGGGCCCACTTCATCAATGCCTTCGTGACCACACCCATGTGCTGCCCCTCGAGATCCTCCATCCTCACCGGCAAATACGTCCACAACCACAACACCTACACCAACAACGAGAACTGCTCCTCGCCCTCCTGGCAGGCGCAGCACGAGAGCCGCACCTTCGCCATGTACCTCAACAGCACCGGCTACAGGACAGGTGAGTGTCCAGGAAGGACAGGTGAGTGTCCGGGAGGGACAGGCAACCTCGCCGAGCTCCCCAAGCTGCTCAGGGTGTGGCCCATGCGCTGTGAGGGTCCCCAAGATGATTCTGGGTTGTACACAGAACAGCTTTCCTTTCAGAGTTGTGTCTTTGTGTATGTGTGTGTGGTGCTGGTGATCGAACCTGGGGCCTCACACATTAAGCAAGTGCAGTACCAGTGAGCTATGCCCTAGCTCTCTTTCTTTCCATGTGTAGAAATCAGAAGAATACAGATTTGTCTGCGGTAGTGACACAAACTTGCCTTCCAAAAAGGGGAGTCTATTTAAATACAGATGAGGTTACAGGGGGCCACAAAGTAGCCATGCACAGGTTTGTGTTTTCTGCTAACTTACTGAATCTGGGGACCTATTTTACTGGGTTAGACCGTCAGCAGATTGGGGAGCTGGCCACCCTACAAGAGGTGACCAGGATGCTGCACCAGCCGCCCTGGCAATGGGACTTCCTTGTCCATGCCAACCTCAGTGCAGCACTACCAGGCTTCCTGTTTGTCACCTTGCGGGGGCACTGGGTTGGGTTCCCAAGGCTCCTCTGCCGGGCTGGCTGCTGAGATACAGATGCGCTTACAGTAGAGTCTCTTTCCCCAACACCATTGCAGAATTCTCCAACTCAATTAATTCAAATTGCTTTAATTAAAAAAACTACTCCCCACCTTGGGCAAAGAGCTGAGGCAGCTGTGAAAACAGATATTGAGACTCAAATGTTGCAATCTGAGACATTGCCTCCAAGTGACAAGGCATTGCTGGGGTGGGAGGGGCCGGAGGAAAGGACCGAGGCCTCCTTCAGCTGAGCCTGTGCCCTCAAGGCTGCATGGTGTCCTGTCAGATGGCCCAGCGGGGCCCTCGGGAAGGGACGGACCCGGCTGGTGTAACTGCCTCCCTCCCTACACAGGTGCCCGTAGTCTGACCTGCGTGCCTTGCTCCGTGGGGCTCTGTACACAGCCAGGTGTGTCAGCTCAACACAGGCCACCCCTGCAGGTGGCTGGAAGGGCCTGGGCATCCCTGGTGGACACAGGACAGGTGGGGTCATCACAGAGGCTCGAGCCCTTCCTGAAGGGGGCATGAAGGTCCAGAATGACTGCCCTGTGCTTGGAGTTGCTGGCCTTCACGTTGTCTTTACATTTAAAATCATAGCTGAAATATCCCAATTTTTAAAAAATGTTGGCAAAACTCAAGTTTTTTAAAATTCATGCTGTGGGACAAAGAAAATATGCCAGGGGCAGGAGTGGTTCACACACACTCTTTACTGCCTCTGGCTGAAAGGTGCACCCCAAAACCTCCAGCTGTGGATGCCAAAGGGGCAGGAAGGGCCCTAAAATGTGCACGTACCAGCCCCTCATCAGGTGGCCAGGGCAGCCACACCCCTCAGAGGGATTTGGCCAGAGCTGTAAAGGAGGAGACTGAGGCGCGATCAGAATGGAGACCAGGACTCCAGGGTGTGGAGGCGGTGTGGGAATGTGCTGTCAGGCTGAGAGCAAGCGTGCAGTCTTGTGACATTTGGGGGGCCTTGTGTGGGAGCCTAGTGTTTCACAGTCATACAGGTGAGACCAAAAAAAAGAATAAAATAGGTTTCCCAGACTTTTCCCTTGAATTGACACAAATCACCAAAAAACTTCTCCCCGGCAAACTGCTCTTCCCCAGCTTTGCTTAGTAATTTTACCCTCAGTGGAGACAGCACAGTATCAAAAGGAAATAGCCATCCACACAGAACGTTTACATTTTCTGTCAAATTGCCATTGAGGGGCCGGGGATTTAGCTCAGTGGTTCCGGCACTTAAGGTCCCGAGTTTGATCCCTGGTACCAAAACAAAACCAAAACAAATTGCCATTGAGAATTTTATTCATTGTACTTAGAACATCTCTCTGTGGGAGGGGGCATTCTAGAGCTTTTAGAACTCAGGAGCCTGGAAACATCTATCTCACGATGTGCTTGCTCCTGGTTATTAAGTAACAAGAATTATGAACCTTTTATGTTTTCCCTCTTCACCCTGGCAGCTAGGAAGCTCTGATTTGAGTTTCATGTTAAGTCGCTATTTAAAGTGGAAACATTATTTTTTTTTATACCGGGGATCGAGTGGTTGCAAGGCAGGCAGTGGAACCACTGAGCTAAATCCCTGGCCCTAAAAGTGAAAACGTTTAATTGCGTGATAGTAAGTGTTACACTCTGCATTAGTGATGGTGAACCTTTTAGAGCTTTCAGTGATGACAAACAGCCTGCTGCAGCACACATGCCATAAATTTGCCTGTAACCATGTGGACCTCTTATTGAAGTTGATTATGTAGGGTTTAAATTTGGCTGTGAGACCCAAGATATCTGTTCTTTGTTCCTCTCGATTAAAATCCCATGCTGCCTTGGGGGGCCCTGCCTCATAAATCAGTCGAAGACTCAAGACTATTTCTCTGTACTTCCCATTGGTGAGAAATGAGTCACATGACCACATGTGGCTGCAAAGAAGCCTGGAAAATGTGGACATTATTCTGGTGGTCATTTTCCCAGCTGACATGATTTTACTTTGAGAGCAAAAGAAAATGGATACTGAGGGAAAATTAAAGTCTCAACCACAGTAAGTGATCTCAGCTATCTGTGCTTTTGCACACTCTGTACACAGATAGTTGTCTGAACCAAGGGAGACTGGTACCAGAAAGATGCCACTTAAGCTGACCACTGTTTCAACAAATAGCGCCTTTTACAATGTATTGGTTAGCTATTTTATCTTGAAAAGTGAAACTGTAACATTTTGAAAATAGCTTCATGTTAGGCCCCACAATATCTAGCTTGGGTTGGGCTCTAATTAACTCAGGGGTTGATTGTGGAAGGAGGTGAATTGATGGTGTGTCAGCTGGGAGGGGTGTAATTTAAACTTGCAGTGACAGCACACCGGCAACAAAGGGTACCCTTGCTTTCGCTGCCATCGTCACTGCAAACCTGTAGCATCCTTGCCAAAGCATTTGATGAATTGATCAGTCTTTCCCCGGGCCATTTGTGCCCCTTGACATCCAAGCCTCCCCTATGAGAGCTTCTTACCCTCATCATCCCTTTCAACAGCCTCTCTTCACTTATCTGTGACACTGGATTATTATTTGCCAGCGGATTTGCATGTGTTTTGAGGTGTCCTCCAGCATCTCTTTAATTAATTTCACAAAACCCTGCATCTTTTAGAAGATTAGCAATTTCATTTTGCAATCATCTTGCCTCACGCTGCCCATGTTTCCAGTAGAGACTGACAAAGGGTGAAGGGAGGGGTACCGAGTTTAAGCAGGATAAATAGCCATTTGTTAATTTTTTTTTTGATATTTCTGGGTCCGGCTTCCTGTAATTCTGAGGCTTTGCGTCACAGATAGGAACACCCTTGGGGGGATAAATGACATCCTCAGGTTTTATAAAAACCCTTGGCACATTTCAGCAGCAGGTGAGCCCACTGCTGCCCCGACTGTACCAGATGAACCCACAGTGGGAGTCATGCCGGGCTTGGAAGCAGACTGCTCCCTGCTCTTGGCAAGGGCTTAACTGAGCTCAAACCTGGGCTCTGCCACTCTCTGGCTGTGAGGGCTAAGTTCGCTTATTTAACTTCTACATCTCGGATGCCTCCATCACAAATAATGTTTCTTAGCTCATAGGGTTTTGCAACGATTAAGTATGTCACATCAGTGACTGGTACAATGATGGTCATTCCCACAAGTATTGCTGCATCAACCAGACTACCTGGGCCAGGGTTCTGGTGACAACACAGTGAGTTGCACACGAGGAGCAAAGTGGTGGCATGTGCTACACCTCTCAGAGGCCAGTGAGGTGCAGATGGAGCCAACAATGGGTGTCACCTCTTACCATCCCGTGACACCAGGAGTGGGTGAAGATGTGGGGACAGGAAGTCACACACCCAGTGGGAACACAGGTTGGCCCTCCGCTTGGAAGAGCACTTTGCTCGTTTCTGGCGAAGCTGGAAGTGCACACCCCTTCCACTCAGCAGTTCTGCTCGGGCTCTGCACCCGAGGCTCTGAGGAGGGGCTGTGTGGCTTCTGATGGCGCAGGGGTCAGGGCACTTTCTAGCTGTGCCTACTGCCCCTGAGGATGTGTGATGCTGGTAGCCCATGGACCATGTGACAGAAACCCCGGCTGTAACTGGTTTTGACAAACTATAGAAGTTTCCCATGCCTAAGCGTTAAAGGTACAGGCCAGTTTTAGGCACAGTCACACCCCTTGGTTTAAAGGTATGGTGATTTCATCCCAACCTGGAGGCCTCAGATATGAGCACCCTTGGGAGGATAAATGTCCAGGGGTAGCACAAGGTCCCAAGGCGGTGGCTGGCGCTTCCGGGTTCTGTGCCTCCTCATTCATGTTCAGCAAGAGCAAGAGAGTATATGTCCCCAGAATGTGAAAGTTCTCCCTCAGTCGCTCCACTCCGGCCACAGTGCTCCTGCTTGTCATTGCATGCCACCTGTGCCATGTGGCACCCCCCAGCTAGGGGCCGTCACGCTTACTCTTCCCGCTCTGGAACCTGCCTGTGTCATCTGCACCGCCTGCTCACGCCCTGTCCTCGGGTCCATGTGCCAGTGGCACCCTCGGGGGAGCCTTTCTTGACCACTCCAGTGGCCCCTTTACCTCCTCATTTGCTTTCTTGTCATGCAGAGCACGGGACGCTGCCTAACACATACTCGTGTGTTTGCTGTCCGACTCCCACCCTGAGTCACCTCTCCCCACCCAGTGCTTGCTCCTTCTGCCATCCCTGGCTCTTTCCTCCACCGGCTGTGTCTTCTACCCACTAACTCGTGACTGTCTCATTTCTAAACTGTCAGCTCCAGGGACAGAGGGACTGGGTCTTCTATCCCCTCCGTGTCCCTGAGCCGAGGACAGTGCCTGCCCCGTACCAGGGGCTCAGTGGGTCTTTGTGGGGAGCAGAGAGGAGTGCTCGCTCTCCTCCGGCCTGCAGCCCTGCCGCCTTCC